AGTATTTAATCAAAAAAAGATTTCTCTGAAAATGCTCACAGCAGCACTAAAAATGCAACAGATAACTGCTGAGCAATAAAAAGGAGAGCATTACTAATTGAACTGACCTCAAAAGCATTATGCTGCGTAAAATTCTAGTGCAGGAAAAAGGAATCCATGGTGGAAGAAAGCTGGTCGCTTCTGCAGAGATGAGGCCTGAATCGGGCTGAGAAAGGGTACAGTGGAAGTTTCTGAGGCTTTAGAAATATATCGAGTACAGATGGGAACTGGAAACACAAGGAATCCAGGAAGGATGATCCCTTCAGGACCAGCGGTGTGAGTGGCGATACTGGGAGGGTGGAGGGAGAGTGAGTTGAAAATGGGGAACCGATTACAAGGAACTATATGTGACTTCCTCCCTGGGGGATGGACAACAGAAAAGTGGGTGAAGGGAGATGTCGGACAGGGCAAGATACGACAAAATAATAATTTATAAATTATCAAGGGCTCATGAGGGAAGGGGGAGTGGGGAGGGAGGGGAAAAAATGAGGACCTGATGCCAGGGGCTTAAGTGGAGAGCAAATGTTTTGAGAATGATGAGGGCAATGAATGTACAAATGTGCTTTACACAATTGATGTATGTATGGATTGTGATAAGAGTTGTATGAGACCCTAATAAAATGATCTAAAAAAAAAGAAAATATATTGAATCTTGTTGGGGGTTGGGTTACACACCTGGGTAAAAACTGCTTATTTGGGAAATGTAAATTGCATTTCATGTTATGAAACAACGCCTCAAAATGGAAATTTAAAAAGGAGCCCTGGTGACACTGCGAGGTAAACTGCACTGCTAACCGCAAGGTTGGCCGTTCAAACCCACCAACTACCTCGAGGAGACAGGTGAGGCTGTTTGCTCCCATAAAGTTCTATAGCTTCAGAACCGCTACACAGAGTTGCTTGCTATGAGTCACATTCACCTTGATGGAAGTGGGTTTTGGTTTGGTTGGGGTGGGGTGGGAGGGAACATGAACCTTAGTTGTGACAGGCACGAAAGGAAGGGTATTGTGGGGATAAGAAATAGTCTGTTATCCCTCCCCAGCGGAGGCCAGGAGCAAAAAATTCAAATTCTTTTCTGATAAAAAAAGTCACTATCTTACTATCTAAAATTTAGGTATCGAGTAGATTCAGATAACAAACATGGTTTCTTTCAGTATCCAAACTCACTGTCTAGGAGACTTCTATGGAGTAGGTATAATTGACAAAGCGTCATGATTTATCATACTCACTGCCATTGAGTGCATCTGCACTCATAGTGACCCTGTAAGGACAGGGTTGAACTTAGAACTGCCCTTGTGGGCTTCTGAGACTCAAGTCTTTATCTTTCTCCCATGGAATAACTGTTGGCTCTATGGTCAGCAGTAAAACATGCAATCCAGGGCTCCTTCATGATTTATCAAATATAAGACTTATCAGGGAGAGGAAGAAGCCAAAGAAGTCACCCAGGTTCACAATTTAAAAAAAAAATTACACGAATAACAACGAGTACAAAAAAGAAAGTGGTAATGATTGTACAACTCTTCTTGATATGATTGAACTAATAGGTCACCCAGGTTTATGGATTGTGTCACCAATTGAAGTTTTGTATGAAAGTCAGGTGAAAATGCAAACTATAGTCAGTCAAACACCATTTTCCCCAAGCAAAAATATATCCTCCACTAAGAATAAATTATTTGTTTTACCTAAGCCACAGAATACGGAGGTGGCATACAGGGTTAAGTGGTGGACTGCTAACGGCAGTTCTACTGTCCAATAAGGTTGCTGTGAGTTTAAGCCCCAGAATGGTATTTAATACAACCACTAAAAATGGCAAGAATCTAAAATTGATTGTGGTGATAACTGCAGATCTTAAAAAATATATTGCATAGTGTGTAAATTTTAAGCCAATAAACTTAAAAAAAAATAAAGAAACATCTCACAGCACGGAATGTTTAATGAGGCAAACAGAATCTAAAGAGAATATCTCATAATTACAAATAAAGGTAACTTGCAAATATCCAGAAATCACAAAACTTTTCCTCCAAGGTACATTCCGAGTAAGGATGGACTTGATAAAGTAGAGGTTGTAAGCAAAAAGAGGAAGACCCTCCACAAGATGGATTAACATAGTGACTCAACATAACAGGCTCAAACATAGCTGTGAGGATGGTGAGGGACAGGGTGGATGTTCCATTCTGTTGTACGTAGGGTCGTTATAAGTCAAGGAACCGATTGGCGGCACCTAACAAAAACTAACCAGGCATGTCTTCTATGGAAATATGGAGGCTTTGATATGCTATTTCAAGCATACTAGAAACTATCTACTAGCATCATAAAAGTGACACAACAGTCCATAGATGGACACATTTAGAGTGTTTCATTAAGATATTAGAAATTCTGTTTTAAGACCAGTCAAAAGGAAACACAGCCAAGCCATATCTATTTGCAGGCAGTAGGGAAAGAAGTATGTACTCATATTTATGTACAGGTCTTCAGGAGGCAGAGTCAAAGAAAAAAACCAGGAGCAAAACATAATTATCTGTGTAACCAGACACATACGCAAACAGTAATGACTTCTCCCTCTTATAGAGATGCCCCCAAGTCAAAGTCTACTGTGATCCAGTTAAAAAATGGCAAAAGGACATGGACAGACCCTTCACTAAAGAAGACAAGTCCAGGAGACTAACACTTGAAAAGATGCTCATGATTGCAAATCAAGATTACAAATGAGATCCCATTTCATCCCAGCTATAACAGCACGGATAAAATAAAAAAAGAACAAATACAGGCAAGACTGTGGGGCCAGGGGCAGGTGACTGAACTCTATCATACACTGCGGATGGATTGCAAAATGGTACAATCATTATGGAAAACAATATGGTACCTCCGTAAAAAAGCTAGAAACAGGAATACCCTATGATCCAGCAATCCCACTCCTAGGTAGATACAGAAAAATGTGACAAGATGCACACCCATGTGCATCATAGATTACTTATAGCAAAAAGATACAATCAACCTACGTGTCCACCAAGGAATGACAGGATAAACAAGCTGTGGCAACACATACATTGGAACATCAGGCAACCACAAAGAATACTGAACCCACAAAGGAGCTGACAAAATGGATGCATCTGAAGGACTTTACACGGAATGAAATAAACCACCAAGAGACAAATATTGTATGACACACTATAAAAAGTCAAGAACAGGTTTACACAAAGAGAGACATGTTCTTTGATGGTTACCAGGGGTGACAGAGTAAAGGAGGAATCACTAACCAGGCAATACACAATATGGGGGAAATCAGCAAAATGTGACAGGAAAAGGAAGACACTGAGAAGTGCACAGGAATATGGGGCAACTATGATAAATGCTGTTGCAAGTCCAATCCTGCAACAATAAATTTTGTGATGATAAACACAAGTACCATAGGTGAGCTAGATATGAGGGAGGCCATACGAGAGCTTATCACATTTAGGCATGATAGTGCATATTTATTTATTTTTTAGTAGTGGATATTTCTATAATGTTGCAATATATACTCACATATGTAATACAACACATAGGGGCACAGTTATAAAAACTACACAGGCCCTTGGACTGAACTAATCGGTTAAAGGCAAAGCAGTTCATAAAGTGTTCATAAAGTATTGCACATTCATGTCTGGTGAGTGATGTCTGGGGCTTGAAAAGCTTTCGAGGGGCCTGGTCTGCTCTCCCGTGTTGCAAAGGAAAATGAAGAAAATGGAAAACTCATGGAAGTAATTAGTCCAAAGAACTAATGCCCCACATAAACCACAGCCAGATCTGAACCTGAGACTAGAATTGGATGGTGCCCAGCCACCACCACTGACCATCTGACCAGGACGGACCACAGTATAAGGTCCTAATCACAATGGGTAGAAAATGGAGAACAAAATTCCAGCAACACAATCTTCTAACTCGTAACCGAAGACACTGTAAGAGACCACCTTTCACCCAAATAATAAGTTGCACTAATAAAATTTACCTTAAGGAAAATGTAAGTGGAATAAATCTACCCCAGTAAACCCATAGGTGCTGACTCAATTCTCACTTATTAGGTACCCCTTGAGGAATATAAAAGCAAACTACATGTACTGGCATTACGGTTATAATTCACAAAAGCACCAGGTTATAATGACTATATTTTCTTAAGGAAACAGAAGTATCACTTATTAGAAATTTGCTTGTTTTTTTAATAGAAAATTGCATAGGTGAGAAAGGCCAAGAAAGTTGGAGAGAGGTAAATCCTCGAAGAACTCTTTAAGGGAGGAGTTCAAAGAAATGAAGCATGTTTCTGAAATCTGGTATAGATGTAGGTGGGGGATATGTTGAGAAACAATAGCTTCACATTTCGATATTTTTGTTTTAATAAAGGTTTCCACGGTGTTGCAGTAAAAGTTTAGAACTTACCCTCACATTTAAAGTCCTAAGTCCCTCTCCTTTAAAGCATAAAGTAGATTTCCAACGTTTCGGCTAAGCCATGATGCTTCAACCTATTCATTTTAAGATAACTAACGGCTTCATCACGAAAAAGCCACATTAACTACTCACAAGTTTTCGCTACAGCTCCCACCTTCTTCGGGCACAAGGATCTACTCACATTATCGGGTTCCTGGGAACTGAGACGGACCAGAAAAGTAACCGTCTGGAGCACGAGTTTCCCTCCAAAGGAAAGTCGGTAACTCAGCGAAGAGTTTGCGCTTGTAAGCCCGGCCCTAAGACATCCCGCCGTCCTGCTCACCTCTTGGGAAGGTGCGAGATCTCCTACAAGCCAGTCTGGAGCCGGCGCCCAGGTACTGCCTGCCAGCCACGACCCGGACTGGAGCGGCGGGTGCCAGGCCGTTAGCAGGCCGCGCGCGCACGCGGCTTTCGCGCCTCCTGCAGCTCGGGCAGCGAGTCCTCCCCACCGCCGGCCCAAACCCTGCCTTCAAGATCCGGACGCAACACGACCGCTTCCTCACCTTACAAGCTTCATCCTAGCGGCGGCGTCACTTTCTCCACCAGATAGTGCACAAAATCAGAGAACAGAGGGACGACGAACTGGAAGTATGAATGGCCGGAAACGCCTACTCCGGAGGCTCCAGACGTAAAGAGCGCGCAGAGCACGACGAACGTACGGCGGAAATGCCGAGGCCTGCTGAGCTGCGCTCTCTTCCGGCCGCCAGGGAAGTGACGGCGCCCCCTGGTGCTTGGAGGTATGCCTTGCGACTGTAAGGCGGAAGTGACTAGGGCTACTCTGGGAGGAAATTCCTGCAAGAGGGAAATTTGAGATGAAACCCAATTAGGAAGCCTGTCGTGGGCGCATTTTCTCGCAGCAAGGCGCCCCGCATTATGAAGCTTCAAATATCCCCGAGAATGAAAGAAAGTTCTGAAGACTACCCCCCAAAAAGAATTATTTTAACTCTAGTTCAATGCAGACAGTTGTATAATTAGAAGAGAGGGATACTATCCGTTTTAAAATCAGCAAAGGTGTACATCAGGGTTAAGTCTTGTCACCATACATATTCCATCTATATGCTAAGAAAATCATACAAGAAGCTGGACTGTAGGAAGAACTCGGCATCAGAATTGGAGGCAGACTCATTAATGACCTGCAATATGGACATGCCACAATCTTGCTTAATGACCATGAAGGGGTCTTGAAGCACTTACTGATGAAGATCAAAGACCACAGCCTTCAATATGACTTACAACTCAGTATAAGAAAAGCAAAGATCCTCACAGCTGAGCGAATGACATCAAAATAAACAGAAAAGATTGAAATTGTCAAGAACTTCATTTTACGTGGATCCACAATCAACTTCCGTAGAAGCAGCTGTCAAGAAATCAAATGACGTGTTCAGTTGGGCAAATCTGCTGCAAAAGACCTCTTTAAAATGTTAAAAAGCCAAGATGTCACTGTCCTGACTAAGTAAGCTGTGCCTAACCCAAGGTGCGGTGTTTTCAGCTGTTTCATATGCAGATGAAATATGAACAATAAATATGGAGACCAAAGAAAATAGAGGCCTTTGAATTATGATGTTGCTGAAGAATTCTGAACATGGACCTCCAGAAGAACAAACAAATCTTTGTGGGGGGAAAAAAATGCAGGCAGAATGCTCTTTAGAAGGGACATGTTATCAGAAGGAACCAGTCCCTGGAGAAGGATTCAGTCCTAGCTACTGCTACATTTCTGCATCTCTGACACGGAAACCTTTTTAAACTGCCTTTGTTTTATCACTCCAATTCACTCAGTAAACTAAACTAAAACCTCACTGCCATTGAGTGTATTCCAACTCACCTAAACCCTATAGGACACAGAATAACTGTTCCCTAGAGTTTCTGAGGCTACACATTTTGGGGGGAGCAAACAACTTCATCTTCCTCCTGAGGAGGGGCTCTAGGGTTGCAACTGCTGACCTTGCAGTTGATAGTCAATGTGTAAACCACTGTGTCAAAAAGGGCATCATAAACCTCCAAGACAAACTTTTCTATTTTCATCTGCGCAGAAAGAGCTCTAGTGGTACTGTCTGGTACATTTGGATTGTTAATTGGACTGTTAACTGCTGGGTCAGTAGTTCAAACCAACTAGCTAGCTGCTCCTTGGGAGAAAGTTGAGGCTATCTGCTCTAATACAAATTTATAGTCTTAGGGGACAACACTGGAGACAGTGTGGGAATTACGCCCAACCTGATCCCACCACACCAAGACAAATCAGTAAGGGTGTGCAACAGAACAGCAAGGGGAACAGAGTAAGGAAGTCCCCAGGGAATACCAAAAATAGACTTTGGGCCAGGGCTTGGCACCCGATAAAACTCGACTGGAAAACACTCCTAAAGGCCAACAAACAGTCCTTGAACTAACTACAAGCTTTTCTTTTTTGTTGTTGTTTGTTTTGTCATTGGCTATTTGTTTTATTATCTTTTGTTGCTTTGCTTTTCCTGTCTTGTTTTTGTGCATGTTATTATCTCCGCAGGTCTGTCTAAATAAGATAGGCTGGATGAACAATCTGGAGGAGAAAACAATGGGATGGAAGGTTGGGGAAGACATGGGACAGGGGGAGGTGGAGGGAGAGAAATTGGTGTTAACAAACCCAGGGACAACTGGTGATGAGGAGGGTGTAAGAGGCCTGGTAGGGCTTGATCAAGGGCAATGTAACCAAGAGGAATTACTGAAACCCAAATGAAGGTTGAGCATGATAGTGAGACAATAGGAAAGTAAAAGGAAATCGCTTGTCGGCCTTTTGACTAAGATCAAGTGGAAAGAAAAAGGAAATAGAGGAAAGAACTAGGAGGCAAAGGGCATTTATAGAGGTCTAAATACAGGCATGTACATATGTGAATATATTTATATGAGGATGGGCAAATAGATCTATGTGCATGTATTTGTAAGTTTAGTATTAAGTTGAAGGTAAACAAGCGGCCATCTAGCTCAGAAGCAACAAAGCCCACATGGAAGTAGCACACCAGCCTGTGCGATCACAAGGTGAAAAAGGGATCAGGTATCAGCATAACAAAAAAATCTTACCATAGTGAATGAGGTGGGGAGTGCATAGTGGAGACTCAAAGCCCATTTGTAGGCCACTGGAGATCCCTTGGAGAGGAGGGGTCTCGAGGAGGAGATGAGCCCGACAGGGTGCGATCTAGCAACGATGAAAAATACAACTTTCCTCTAGTTCCTAAATGCTTCCTCCACCTCCCACTATCATGATCCCAATTCTACCTTGTAAGTCTGGCTAGATAGGAACTGGTACAGATAAGAACTGGAAACACAGGGAATCCAGGGAGGATGATCCCTTCAGGACCAGTGATGTGATACTGGGAGCGTAGAGGGAGGGTGGGGTGGAAAGGGGGACCTGATGACAAGGATCTACAGGTGACCTCCTCCCTGGGGGATGGACAACAGCAAAATGAGTGAAGGGAAGACATTGGACAGGGCAAGATATGACAAAATAATAATAATTTATAAATTATGAAGGGCTCATGAGGGAGGAGGGAGGGGGGGAAAAAGAGAACCTGATGCCAGGGGCTTAAGTGGAGAGCAAATGTTTTGAGTATGATGAGGGCAATGAATGTACAAATAGCTTTACACAATTTATGTATGTATGGATTGTGATAAGAGTTGTATGAGCCCCTAATAAAACGATTTTAAAAAAGGTTTAATACTAAGGTAGCAGATGGACATTGGGCCTCCACTCAAGTACTCCCTCAATACAAGAATACTTTGTTCTGTTAAACTGGCATTCCATGATGCTCATCTTCCCGAAACAATCGCTGAAGACAAATGTGGTGAAGAAAGCTGATGGTGCCTGGCTATCAAAAGATATAGCATCTAGGGTCTTAAAGACTTGAAGGTAAACTAGCAGCCATCTAGCTGAGAAGCAACAAAGCCCACATGGAAGAAGCATGCCAGCCTGTGTGATCACGAGGTGCTGAAGGGATCAGTTATCAGGCATCAAAGAACAAAAAATCCTATCATTGTTGTGAGGAGAGGAGGGTCCCCAACAAATCATCACAGTTCCGGTAGGCGCAATTGTACAGCGATAATAAGTAAAGATTATAGTAAAGTCATAGAGAGCATGAGGGGTAGAGGAGAGATTGGAATGATGGAGTCAGACACAAATCATGGTAGTATGCTCATCTCATGCTTACCAATAAGGTTACAGGTTCAATTAAGCCGCTTTGCCCTTCAGGCTTCTTTCACTGTATGATTTTACAATCTTGCAATATTCTCTCTTGGTTAGCTTCACTCATTCCTTCCAAGCTGGATTTAGGGGAAGTTAATGGGCGATTCTCAGGCCCACATGAATGCCCTAAGGCAAGAACACCATATCTAGAGTTGAAAAACCTTTTACCTCCAATTTCTAATTCCATGTGGGGGCGCTGTTGTTTCCCCACAACAGCATTCCAAAAGACCCCTTGATTTAAAGGGTGGTTAGACTTCTTAAGTACTCTTTCCTGATAAGTATGAATTTTTACTCTAGAAATGAAAGGAAACAAAGATTGGCTTAAGCGATCTTTCTTTATAAACAATGGTATATCAGATTTTATCACTGCCTTAATTTCTTCATAATTCTAGCAACACCTTGAGAATTTAGGTTGGTCTTTCCTAATAAACGTCCCATAGTTCTTTTAGGTAGCGTAACTCAATTACCCCTCTTAATAATTCCTGATTTAATTACAGCTTTTGGCTTTTCCTTGCAACTCTGATCAACTCCAGTATTAATTTTAATTCCTTGAGTACTCTGGTTAAAACTTCCTGATAAAAACTGTATTACTTTTTCAATAAGAGGCTCCTGCTTTTTAGAATCAACAAACTGCTGGGAGTGCTTCCGAGTCATCTCTGGGTTAGTCAAGCCAACTGCAGAGGCTGGGCTTTTGCCTGTTTGGCTAGGTCTGGTCTCCTGCTGTGCGATTGGGTGATACCTGCACTTTCTCTCTAAGATCTTCTTTGCTCCAGCAGACAGACACCTTGCCTCCCACACTTTGCTAGGTGGAGTCTGTATCAAGCTCCTTCCACTATTTTGCCGCAGGGAAGTCTTTGCTAATGGCAACTCTTTACTGTTGAATTTTGAGCCACATTGACTCGCCCAATGAGTTCCCTTCCTACAGGGTGGGCAAAGTTCAGGGTCTTTTAAACCCGAATTAGGTGGCCCTGGCCCATGCTCTGACATGACCTGTCTTTCCACAACTAAAGCACTTTCTTCTTGATTTGGTGTAATTTGCCAAGGCAGCTGCCATGCGGTTGGCCTTGTATTCCTCTGTCTCTACATTCCTGCATATTCTAAAATAATCTAACAGCGTGCCCTGTTCCCTATAGGGAACGCTGTGAATCCCTTTTGGGTGCTGCTCGTCAGACTCCCTGTCTATAACTCTCACGAGATAAGCCACTCTAAATTCTTAATCTGCTTCCTGAGCTATGCTCTTCTCTACCTGTGAAAGCAAAGGTGCCTTCCTACACCCTGCCTCTTTGCTTTTTGCTTCCTGAACCTCACCTTCTATGATAAATCTCTCCATCCACTTGCTTTTCTTTGGATCTAATCTCATCTCTCCCTCCAGCACGGACTTGCTTGATAGTATTATGATTCCCTACACTATACTCTGGTGTGGTGCAGA